TAGATTTCTTTATATTAAATACTAGCGTTAATAAGTATATCCTTAATAATCTCTCTATTTTTAAGAAACTTTAAGATCTCTTTTAAGGATTAATTATAAACTATATAAGTAGAAAAGACTAAATTAGCTAAGCTATTAGTATAGCTAAAGTAATTACTATTAAGCTAAGTAGTAAAAAAACTACTTTCTAACTATATAATACTCTCTATAAACCTTATAATATAATATAAATTATTAGTATTAATTTTCTTTAGAAGATAAGTATCTATTTTAATAGTTTAGATAATATCTTAGTTTATAAAAATATATCTAAAGCTATTACTAACTTTAAATAGGATATATAAGTCTCTTAGCTTTAGATCTATCCCTCTAATTAGGGTAATAAATTTAGCTCTCTTAGGTTAAATTATTAAACTTTTTATATTTATCTAAAATATCTATCTAGAGAAATAATTATTACTACTATAAGAAATATTAATATAAACCTCTTTAGAGTACTTCTTATAAAATATAAGTATTATATTTACTTTATAGTAAAGTTAATATAATATACTAGTAATAGATAATAAGAATAACTAACTTAAGCTTTTTAGAAGCTTTAAATTAATTTCTTAGAACTAATACTATAAAGCTTTAGAGGTGTTATTTATAGCCTCTATATTATAGAAGCTTTTTTAATTTATAGATAGTTCTAAATATTTAAATTAAAGAAAGATATAGCTATTTAGCTATAAAGCTAGTTTCTAAAAAAGATTATAGTAATAAATAGTATTATTTACTTCTCTAAAGTTATTATAGATAATAATATAGCTCTTCTTAAAGTAATAAAGCTTTTTACTTAAAAATAAAGCTTCTATTTAGAAATAGTAGCCTTAAATTATTATTAATAGAATAAGAGGGTAAAAAGTTTTAATAAGGCTATATAATAGAAAGTATAAGTAATATATATAAAAGCTAGCTTTCTTAAATCTTTCTAGCTTTAGTTAATAAAGATTTCTATTAAAGTTAGTAATCTATTATCTAATAGTAAGAGTAATATTAATCCTTATAAAAAACTAATAAATACTTTTAATATATCTCTTACTATAAAAAAACTATATATATACTATCTCTACTACTAAAGCTATTAAGCTTATATCTATATTTACTTAGATAGCTATCTATATATAAAAAGATAGAAAATAAAGCTTAAAGCTAAACTTAGAAGATTTATAAGATATAATAGCCTTTATAGTAATATTTTCTATATTTTTATTAAAAAAACTAATAGTATTTAATAGGTAAGAGATATAATATTTAAAGAAAATAAAGGAGAGCTCTCTTTAGTTAAATTTAATAATTTATAGCTAAGAGAAGAGGTTAAGCTAGAAACTTATAAGTATAGTAATAAACTACTAATTATAACTTATAAAGCTAAGTTTTAGCTTTATAACTTAAATATAAAGTTATACTATTATATTTATTCTATTAAATAAGAATAACTATAAAGGGAGGAAGATAATTTATACTTAGAAGATACTTAGGAATTAGAGGGTAATAATAAATAAGAATAAGAAGATAAGCTTCTTTAAGAATAAGAAGAAGTTAGTAGAAAGAGGGGTAGTTTACTAATTTTAGATCTAGAACTATATATATTAATATAAGATATTAGTATTATAAATATATAGGTATAATTAATACTAAAAGAAGATTTTCTTTTATATTAATATTTTCTTACTACTTTTTTAAGTTAAAGTTCTCTTATTATCCCTTATTAGTAATAAAGTTCTTTTATTATATTATTATAGCTAAGATCTTTTATTATTTCCCTCTAAATACCTTAATTAATATAAAGAAGACTAAGAGGAAGACTAAAAAGTAATAGTAGAGGCTTTATCTTTATAAGATTATTAAGAGTAACTACTTTTTTTTTAGTTAAATAACCTAAATATTTAGAACTTAAATATTATATAATATAAAGAAGTTTAATAGGGAATTTAGTAAGATAAAAGCTATAGAAATTAACTTAATTAATAATAAAATAGATTAAGAATTAGTTATTTTTATTTTTTTAGCGTCTAACCTATTATAAGCTTTTAGCTTAGAGATTTACTTATTTATAACTTTTAAGAAATAGGAAGTAATAGAAGAAGGACTTCTAAAGTTAACTATTTTTAATATTATAAAGATTTAAGTTAATAACTTATAGGGGATAGATTACTAATAGCTTAAAGAGCTTCTAAATAGCTTTAAATATCTCCTAAGTAAATAAGTATATAATAAGAAGGTTATTATAGATAGAAAACTTAATAGAGTTAAAGTAAGATAGGTTATCTATAGTAACTTTTAAAATAAGGATAATAAGATAGTTTATATTATTATTACTAATTTTATTACTTTATAAATCTTTTTACTAATTATAGTATTTAAAGATTTAGAACTTTATTAAGTTAATATAGTTATAGCTTTCTTAAATACTTTTATAAGAGATTAAGATATCTTTATTACTTAACTTTATAAGTTTAATAATAGATCTAATTAGTTCTATAAATTAAAAAGAGCTCTCTATAAACTAAGAGAATCTCCTCTTCTTTAGTATAAATAAATTATTATTATCCTTAAATAATTAAAGTTTAAACTACTACTAAAAGAACTTTATATTTTTATTAATAAAGATAGTATTATAATATTACTTTATATTAATAATATACTTATTATTATACTTAATATTAAGTAAGTTAATAACTTTAAAAATAACTTATATAACTTCTTTTAAATTAAGGATTTAAGTAAAGTATAATAGTTTCTTAGGTTTAAGATTATTTACTACTATAAAATAAGATAACTTTAGATTTTATAGGCTAAATATATTAATAATATACTAATAGAGAAGGGTATTACTAGATATAACTAAATACCTTACCCCCCTAGTAATACTTAGTTACTAAAGATTATAGAATAATATAAAACGCTTATTAAGATATATAAATATTAAAGTAATCTAAGTAAGTTATAGTAGATTATAAATAGTATATAACTAGATATTATAATACCTATAAGTAAAGCTACTAGAGATTAATAATATACCTCTAAAAAGTATAATAAACTATTAAGATTAATATAGAGATATCTTTATAGTTTATAATAACTAGTACTCTGCTTTAGTAGCTTAAGTTACTCTATTAATAACTTTAAATTATTAGCCTTCTATAATATTAGTTAATCTAATTATAAAAGAATAAGTAAGTTAATAGCTAGTTATATAGTTATATATAGAGGAGTATTAATTACTTAGAAATTAATATTATAATTATTTATAGCTATATTAACTTATAAAGCTAAGTAGATAAATCTAATACTTAGAAAGAAAGCTTTACTATATATTATAGATCTCTTCTAAGGGATAAATATCTCTATTTAATTACCCCTCTAAATATATATAGATTTTATAAATACTTTTAATAATTATTTATTAGGTAAATAGTCGCTTAAACTACGCTATATTAAGATTAAGTATTACTAGATTATTAATAATATTAGTAATAAAAACTTTAAGATTAATTATATCTTAACTTATAAGATAGTTACTAATAGCTTTACTAAACTATTAGTAGTAGAGAAGTATTATAACTTTATTAGAATACTAAGTTTATTAAAACTACTTATAACTAATAATAAGTCCTAATCTAAAGATAATATTTTAGGAATTAATCTTAATTAAGTTTTTTCTATTTATTTATTTCTTTTATATATAATAACTTTATTCCCTTATATCTTACTAACTAATTAACTTTTATAGTTAGACTTTATATTATTTTAATTACCTTAATTTGCTCTTTTTAATAGTTAAATTACTAACTATAAAAATCTTCTATATAAGAAGTTATTTAATAATAAAAGCTTAGAAGGTAATTAAAGATTTTAACTTTACTAAGTTATAAGTTTATTATTAAGTTAGATATCTTAGTTAGTATTTCCCTAAGTTATAACTATATTAAGTTTAACTAATAAAAAGTTAATTAATTTTAGATTTAAATAAAATTAATATAAGTTTAAAGTTTAAAAGAGTAAAAGATTAATTAACTAGGTTTTAAAAATATTATAAAAAGATTAATCTTTAAAGTATTATTAATTATAAACTATTATATTTAATACTTAACTAAATTTAATTAATAGATTAGAGGAATAATAATAAAGTTTTATAAAGCTAATTAACTACTTAAGAATTACTGCTTTTAATAAGAGAAAATTACTTAAAATATAAAATCTAAAATTAGACTAAAGTAAATAGTTTTTAGACTTATTTAAGTTAAAAATTAACTCTATAAGGAGGTTTTAAATAGTAAACCTCTAAGTTATTAGCTTAGAGATTTAATTTAAGTTAAAAATAAAAAGTAATATTAACTATACTAAATAACTATTTAATTATTTTTATAGAAATAACCTAAGTAATAATTATAATATTAATTAGCTATATAAAAGCTAGAAGGGGTTAAGAAGTATTTTAAAATTAAAATAAAATAATAATAGTAATATAGAAAAGTAAGAATAATATATAGAAATAAGAATAATATAAAACTACTATATAATTAATTAAATTACTACTTTAAAATAGGAATAGCTTTACTTAAAGTATTAGAAACGTTAGCTAAAAAGGGGGTATAAGATAGTAGTTAGCTAAGCCTAAGCTTAAGGCCTAAATCCTAGCCTAAATCCCACTTTTACGTAAGGGATTAGCTACACTACTTTGTAGCTAGCCGCGCCTGGCGCTCATAGCTAGATTAATCAAGCCACTTCACGCAGGTCTGAACTTGGTAACTGGCCCGTGCACGGGGTGTTCATGTCGACTTGGGACCTTGGCTCCAATAGTTTGGATGAGGCGTAGCAACTGTCCACAGATGTGGAAACGTCTGCGCTGATCTTCATTGGCACCCTAAATGACGCGTTCTAACATCATGTCGGCAGAGATAAAACCCCCTACTCAGGAACTCAATTGTCCGATGATAATGTTTTCCAGGCTATCAAAGTATGTATCTGAAGTTTTCATTCACTGTCTTTGAACGCCCAACAGAACCGACGAGGCCTTGTTCTTCTTCGACATCAACGCTGTCTGCGGTTGATGCGTCTATCTTTCGGTTCAAGAAGCCGAGGTAACATCTTAGGATGAGCGCGAGAACAGCTACAGCGAGCATCGCGCATGCGCAGGTTCGCATGCCAGGCGCATAGAAGGGTGCATCTCGATCCGGATACAACCTCGTCCCCACGATTGGTCCACATTGCCCAATGAATTGCATCAAGGCGAATCCACCCCCTTGCCTACTTTCGGAGGGCTGGTTATTGATGCTCCATGCGATGGTGAGTGTCACCACGTTGAAGAATCCTATCGCAGCGGGATACACAGCCAGGTAGCGCAGCGGCGGAGGCAGGCCGAATGGCTCTGAAAATGCCAAGGCGGCATATCCAGCCGCCGATGCGAGAGCGTGGAAGATTATTGGGCCCGATCGAATCTGAAATCGGTCGGATAAGTGTGCCGTCAGCAAAACAAAGAGGAAGGCCAGAAAATAAGGAGGTACACTAAGCCCCTGTGATTCCAAGCGGGAGTGACCCATCTCGTGAAGAATCTTAGGCAGGAACACGGGCAGGGAAGAGTACGCCATGTTGGTTAGAAAGAACATTGCAGCCGTCAACCAGGCCATTGGATCGCAGAGGATGACAACCACTTCGCGAAGCTTCAGACCAGGGGCCTTCTTTTCGCCACGTGTCTGATGCGGTTTCTGATGTCGAAGTCGGAGTCGTGCCACTTTGCGTTCTCGTGCCGTGAGATACGGTGCCGTCTCCGGAGTGTCCGGGATAATGTGCCAGGCAGCTACAGCTACCAGGACGGAGGGGAACCCCTCGACTAGAAAAAGTAGGCGCCACGGAGCGATTGGGCCATATTCGGCGAAATTGATGATCAGCCAGGCCAGTGAAGACGCAAAGGTTGTCGCTAGCGGCGCAGCTACACATAGTCAGTGCCTTGAGGCGGTGGGCGTTGTCGAGTCAGACGAACCTGATATGAAGATAGCAGTACGGAACGCAAGTTCCTCCCTCTTGAAAAAGAAGGACAAATAGAACGGAATCCCAGTGAACCCTGCTTCTCCAATTCCCAGTAGAACGCGGAAAAAGATGAGCATTGGATAGGACACGGCGACTGACTGGAGCGCAGCGGTCAAGCCCCACGATAAGACAATCATGGAGACGTATATATGCGCCGGAATAAGCTTCCACAATAACGACATCCATTCGAAGGCGATGTACGCGATATAGAAGGCTGTCAGCGTCCATTCGTACCATCCATCCCAAGGCGGCTGCGATTGAAGATCCTCATCCATGCCTGCGATGCGCGCGTTGCCAATATCTGTGTGCGACATGTCATTAGCATCAACATGGCTAGAGGTGTTGTAATGGTAAACAAACTTGACCGATCCAGAAAGCTCAGCATGAACAGAAGCGCCACGAACAGAACCAACCGTCTATCGAATTTGCGAACAACTGCGCTTTCCTCATCTGGGGTATATAGTTGAAAGCTTGAAACGGTGCTGTTGCTCATCCGTCTCCGTGAAGAAAACGGGTCGTCTTCGCCTCCATCGTCCTTCTTTCCTGCTGGGTTTACCAAGCTCTTGAGCTCATAGGCCTGGCCTCCACCGAGCTCTGCCTCACGGAATTGCAAATCCCCTTCCGTATCGTCGAGCTCGAAATTGCTGTCCAAGTCGAATTCGGCTGTTTGGGCGACCGATGGCGACGGCGACGTTTCGCCGGCCCTCGAGGAGGCGTCAGGGACGCGAAGCCTCGAGAATTGGGCCATGATGAGATATCATACGTATCGATGTGTGCGAGAACGCAAGGTGGTCACGGTCCGTGACGGAGGGGAACTGTTAATTAAACCATGGAAACAGCAAAGGCTGCAGCTGGCCGACTCGTGCACCAATTCGCACGACGCAAGCAGTGTAGGTAGCCGCACAATCGCATGGGAGAAATGGGCGTTGGGGATGGCTTTAGTCCATGTTGGTGTCTCGAAGGAGCGAGCTGGGCGCGTTCCTGCTAAAATACCTGGAACAGCCATACAGCTCAGGTGAGAGGCCTCGGCCAATGACGTAGCAAGCCAACCCCTGCCATCGCAACGCGGAAAGCTGGGGTTGCAGGGGGCGCTCATTGCGGCTGCAGTTAGTGGACTGAGGGAGGACGACGATCAAGGCGGTAATAAATCATGGCAGCTTTCCATCATTTTCTTTTGAATGTAAACAAATCTTTTATTATTCGCCGTCGCTTTGTAATAATGCTCCCTTCCGTAGAGTTTGCTCGGCCAGAATTGGGGATATCATGAGGCCGATGTTGCGTGGTGTTCGGGCCAGAACAGCAAATGCAACGATTACACGCACATGATAACAAGCCTTCCCCGATGCGCTCCGTAGACTAAGGGCTTTCATGGCTCGTCTTTTTTCCCAAAGAGCCTCCTGAAGCCACCACCCTTGGGCGTCTTGGGCCTAAAGTCCATAGATGGCTTCGTTTGTAATAGTGCTGGCGTTTCCCCCGTGTTCATGTTGGGGTGCTGGAAAAGGGTGCCATAGGGCAGTCCCGCCTCCTTTGGCGAGACTTGTAATTGCTGCGGGGACATTGCCGACGCGAATTGGCTGGCCGGTACGCTTGATATGTACTCCTTGGGCGAGGCTGCCGGTCTCGAAGATGGGCCTGCACTCCTGTCGCGACCCCTCGGAGTCTCGCTTTCTGCATCCCGTGGGTCGTCGTCCCTCGCTTGCTCCTTGGCTGCACCCATATCTTCGGGGAAGTCGCGCACCTCGTCACCACAGACCACGACATACCATCGGATATCTTCACCACGTTGCAGCTGATCCCTCAGCTTCTCAAACCATCCTGCCTTTTTCCCCGATGTCGAGCCCTTCTTGGCCTTGTAAAACTCATCACTCGGGGTGCTGGCCATGGCCTTTGTCTCGCCCAACCGCTCTTCATAGCGCATGATCTCCTCCGCGATTGAGTTACTCAAATCGATGCGCACGACATGGTCGGCGACGTAGGCGTAGGGGCGGCTGACGTAGCTCAAATCTGTCGGGTCGTATTCTTCGAGTAGCTTCACGGCACTCCAGTTGTTCTGCAACACATCGTCCTCCTCGGGAGGCACAGTTGAGGGTGGCACATCATATTCGTTCCTGAGAACACCAGCTTTGAGAGGCTTGGACTTGTTCCGCTTCTTCTTTTCTCGTTGGGCTTCGGTATCTTCGGGAGGTGGTTCGGGGAGAAAATCGAAGAGGGAGTAGAAGGATTCGAGAATAGCGGGAGAAGAGTTTGGCGCTATGATCCATTCCGGGGCGGCATCATCGATATTTTGCACAACGACAAAAACTCGAATACTTCGGCGGTCCCAACGAAAGCCGTGACAGAGATAGGTAGGCATGGCGGGTAGTTGCGATAGAGCTTGGATGGGCGGGGAGGGGTTGAGAAAGATAGGACGAAGCAGCGGATTGGTGGGGGAACGGAGGGAGCGCAGGGGATACGGGTACGATAACGAGCGTGAGGCGGTGGATGACCCCGGAGCTGGGGGGTCGGCCGGGAGCTCGAATGGCCAAAGGTTGAAAGATGAACAGGTCTTTTCGTTGGCGTCGACTTTGTTGATGCCGTTCGGTATCAAGTTACATGAGGTCGCCTAATTGAGGCGGGCTACGCCGACGATGGCAAGTCGTGACGACGGCGGACGACGATGGTTTGTCGGTCGTGGTTGACGAGGTGGTGGTCGAGCAGAGCAGGGCAGCGCAGAGCAGGGCAGCGCAGAGCAGAGCAGGCGGGCAGAGGCTGGGAGAAAGGATCAAGATGTGAAAAGCAAGACGAAAGGCTGGTTGCCGACGGGCGCTGAGAGTGGTACGCCGTGCATTATTCAATTTGCGGCCGAGGAAACATGGCTTGTCGCATCGCTCACGCTGGGCTTCGGGGCAACGTCGTGGGCCGACCAATGGCTCCGGACTGGGCGAAGGCGAGCTCGCGTGTTGAGTGGCCAGATGGTGAGGCGGGAGCTGGGAGAATAAGCAAAGATGAGGCCCGGTCGAGGTCGGGTGGTGCAGAGCAGAGCAGAGCAGAGAGTGCAGCGAGCGAGTGAGGCGAGTGAGTGGGCGTGGGAGAGAAAGAAAGAAAAAAGGGCAATTAGGAAAACCAAGTGGACAGGAATGGAAAGTGAATTGATTGAAGGTTCTCCCGGTCGTGCTCCTGCTCCTGCTCACCTTGGGTGCCCAGGTAGGTACCTAGGTATGGAAGGTACCTAGGTGAGGTCGGGCAGCTGCGACCTGCTTGCGCCAGTATCAGACGCCACTGTTAGCCCACTGCCTTCCAGGTTACCTACCTAGGTAGGTACCTTAGGTAAGTAGTGGATGGAGCCCGTACCTTAGGTGCCTTACTTGGTTGAGATAGGTACTTAGTCGAGGTGCCTACCTCAGGTGCCTTAAGTAATGTAGATGCCGTCAGAGGAATGAAAGAAGAGACAGATGACGCCCAACTGGACGCACTCTTGGGTGTCCTCCTTCATAAGCCTCATCCTCATGGTCCAGGGTGAGAAAATCCCCGAAAGCTGCACATCACCATCTCTTGCCATTCGCAGGCCGTCGCTCGCTTGACCTCAGCGTTCGAGGCCCACACCGCATGCAACCTTGCCCTGAACAGCTTTCACTTGTGCATGTCATCGCAGCCGAGGTTTACCACCCTGCCACTTTCATGTCCGTCCTACGGATACCTCGAGAGCTTTCGCCTGGACCACCTACCTGTCCTTGCCTTGCGGATGCCAATCGGTCTCGCAACCTTGCTAACCACATTGTACTGCATCGTAGGTAGGTTGCGGAAATGGTAGACTCCAAGCCAGATCCGAGGCCAGTGGATGGACACTTTACCTTCGTCACCCCCGACCAGGCACTTGCCCTCAGCCCGTGTGAGTTTCCAGGCCAATCATCACTTGCGAAATGATTTGAGATTTGCCAATGGGGGCATACGCGTTCGTCAACTCTAGCGAAGCGCGGCGGGCGGCATAGTTTCAAGAGCCCATGAAACTGGGGAAGGGAACACGATGAAGCTTAATCCCTGATCCAGTAACGTCTCCGCGTCGCTCGCTGCCAATGCAATGCCAATGACCGCTGCTGCTGCTGCTGGACGTACGTACACGGCCCTGCCCAGGAACACACTCTCGCCCACGCACCGAACACGCGGGGTAACCAAAAATCTTCCCTCCCATCTCGACCGAAATGTGTCATGCCCTATCGACCCAGCTGTCAACCAAGACTGACTGACACTGACTTTGACCGGCCCGAAGCTCACATGCACCTGTTGAGCGCACAGTCGTTGACACGTTCCTCGGAAACCTCGACGAGTTTCGCGGGGTAAGCATCAGTCCAGTTGCTGCGAGACATGCCTCGTAACGGCTCAAAGAAGCACCGCAGCAACACCCGCACTCATAATCAACGCGAGAGCCACTCTCGTCAATGTTCGGCTAGACCCGCTAGGTGGGGCCGATTCAGACGGCACCGCTGTTCGGGAAGCTGTCTCCGCCGGCAGCGACGTGCCGTCCGTGACGCCTGCGGTGGGACTCCTCAGCGAGGTCGTCGGCTCCGAGGACTCGGTCGGCGTCGGGCTGCTGAAAGGCTGGCACGTCTGCGTCCTCCACTCCTGTGATTCCACCGATAACAGATACGATGCCTCCCGCGCACCTCCCTTGTTAGCCCCCAATTTGTCCAGTCCAGCGGTAATAGCCACGACGACCGATCGTGCCTCCACGAAGCACGTATTGACGGGGCTTCTCGCACCCGTCATTGTAGAGCTGCCCGAGGTGGTCTCCACCGAACACCATCCGTATTGATCTGAAAGAACATCGTCGCTGCCGGTACCCAGATCGCAGCTCCAAAACTTGGTCGTCCCTGCAGTTGCCGTGTTCGTCCCCGCCCAGAGAGAGCCTTGGTGATGGGTAATGTTGACCGGATAGTATCCCTCATTCTGACATGCTTCGTTTGCGGTAGGGCAAGCGACCTGGTAGGTTGTGTCTGTTGGGTCATAGCTCACGACGGAGGCCTCGAGACTGCCTGTCGGATGAGAGTCGTAAACGAAGAAGAACCGGGCTGGCGCCGTGATGGAGGCTGTCGACTGCGCATTGGCAATTGAAAGGAGCCCTGCGCCCCAAAAGATGAGACGAGCTCTCTGCATCGTCGACCGTCAAGTTGCCAAATGGTGCTTGAGAAGCACGTGACTACGGCGGGCGATGTGAGCCGATGGTGTAAGGGAGACGCAATGGCGAAAGTAGATTGAGCGCATTGCAGGACTTTGTATCATTCGTGAGCGTCCCTTATACGCAGGCAGCAGAGGTCATTTCACGAAGCAGCCAGGGTCGCATTGCCCGACTTGTGAGAGACTGGATGCCTGAACAGGCTTACTAGGCAAATACCCCTTCCGCCAAGGTAAAAATGAAATGATCAAACTTCGTCTGAGGTTTCTACACCTAGGTTGGCGACGTGATGCTCATGGTTCTTTCTTCGGTCAGAAATTGCAATTCAGATGCGATCAAGCCGCCAGTCTCGAGTCAACGGAGCGGAGGGGTGATTCCATCTGGGAGCACGTCCAACAATCACATCGAGACAGTCTGTGGGCTTTATGAACATGATGGCTGACAGCCGAGTCGGCGGTTCTGCCCTTGTTCACGACCTGTCGTCCACTTCTTTCTCTTGGCGCCTATTCGTAGGCTCGGATTGGGGAAGGTATCTCCAGTGGAGCCAGGTTACAGTGAAAGAAAGCTCGATCGGAGAGGGTGTGTTGAATCCCGGGATTCTGTGCTGCCTAGATGCTATTTCCAGGGGTCCAGGCACACTGATTGGACGCTTCGCCTCGTAAAGCCACAAATGGCTTGGCCGATTTGGCGGGGGCTGCGGGGTCTGGCGAGACTACCTAGGTAACAACAGAAACAGGGGGCTAGAAGCTCAGACCAGCTCCAAGCTGGCCCTCCTCACACAGGGTCATCCTGGAAGAATTGCCCATCTTTTCATCCTTTCATAGCCAGAGCCTTCTTGCTGCTCCCGCAAGTAGAAAGAAAAGTCGAAAATCTGCAGATTATTGGGAAATGTCGGTCAAGAGCCGGGACCGACGAGGTGATGTCTTGTACATTGGTAGGTTAACGATTGCCGGGAGGTTTTCTATTGATCCTTCAGCCCGTCTGACCTGCCTGTTTTCCGCCCCCCTGCTGGGACAGAGAAGGGGCTGAAGAAGACGAGAGAGATAGGATTCCATCAGCCAAGACGAACCTGACAAATGCGGCAACCCTTCCACGAACCGCCGTTTGTGATAGGTCCCTTCGGAGACGACCACACCACCCACATGACTCTGTGCCTTCTGCCGGCGGGACGAAGCGAGGGGAGGAGGAAGAAGGTATTTCCACGACCAGCCCTCCATGGCAAGGCGTTCTCGAGACATCGTAGGGCCGGCAGCGTGGCACTTGGTGCACCACAACGTGCAGCGGGAAGGGCTTAAGCTGCTGATAAAACGATAGCGGGTGCGCCACAACGGCGCCAGAAACAAACATAGTCACTCAAGGCAGACGGCGCCTCTCCCTTCGTCCCATGTCTAATCTTGGACTCTTCCTCAGCACACCTGAACACCGCGGCCACGGAATGTCCAAAAGAAAGACTGTCGCCCCAAGAACCTGGCTGACAGAAAGGATAGGTAGGGTTGCAATAGGCACGCAACTGCTACGACTCTGAGCCAAAGGTAGGGGGCCCACAACCCGTCCTCAACTTCGGAATCGTACACTACGAATACCTAGCACATGGGTCCCCTTCCGCAGCCGGTCAGCGCTAGACAGCCCAGCAACACGATGTCGTGATGCTCATCTTTTCTGGATGGAGATTCTACTATGACCTGGCAGTGGCATATTGCACAACCATGACAAGCTTTCGTGGCTGGTTTGGGACGACTCGCTCACGTATTTGCCTACTTCGCGGCTAAGTCGTTAACGAAGCGCGTCCCAGGCTTCTACCATTCAAAATCTCACCACGGACGCTATCCGTACTACCGTAGATTAGAAGGATGTTTAGCGCCGGCCTTACAAACCATGCCGTGCACGATCAGCCCGTTCATCTTAACCAAGCTTTTTTTCTCACCCTGTCCAACCCCGGCTCAGCTCGTCTAAGACAACATCGGTAAAGAGCCAGCCAGGCAGCCAGCATATCAAACCTACCTACGCCTGCAAGGTGATATGGATGCTGCTGCTGGTCTCGGCCCCCGTTGCCGCATGCCCCCTGCAATACTTCGCCCGCTGAGTGTGTGTATGGATGGCGATCATGGATTGGATCCCGCTCTGGGCTGGCCCCCTCGACTAGTGTAGCAAGCTAGGCGTAGCGACTGTCTCTCCTTGCTGTCCACATACTAAGTTGACCATCAGCCCAAAGGATGGGTAACACCGCCGGGGGTGAGGGAGGGCACCAAGTTGTCAGATTTTACTGCAGCCTGGGCTTTAATGTCTTCCCATCCGCTGCTCCTTCGGTTCTTCTCGTTGGTCTAGCTTCATGTCTCCCGTCCCACAACTTGCCAATCCTTTCAGCCAACAAGCACCGCCTCGCCTTTCTTCTATTGCTCTCTGTCTTTTGAGCGGGCTATATGAGTAGAGCGGAGTATATAAAAATGGCCCCAGTGGTAAGTCGCCGATCTAATTCTGTCTTTTGGCTCCCTTCTCCTGCCTTCTGGTTTCCTAAAGTCTTCAACCCTGAGCCAAGACGTGTAGACTGTCCGTACTAAGATGTCGACTCCTCAGCATTATGACGAAGGCCCCGAGGTGGCACCTCATCAAGCATATCCCGAAGTGTACCATCCTCCTGCTCAGTCCTATCCCACCTCGCCCCAACCGCAAGTTGTCACGCCGATCAAGAGAGAGGACTCGACATACGGAGGAGCTTACACGTCGACGGCAGTTGATCCGTCGGTATATGGCGGCACCGCGGACCATCGTTCGACGTATCACGCACCTGGAGAGTCTGTCGCGCCGCAGAAGAGCAGGAAAACCGTCTGCGGCTGCACGTTCCTCGTCTTCATCCTGTCCATCATCATCGCGGTGTTGGCGGCGGCCGTCATCGGTCTGGCAGCAGGAACTGGCGTGGAGGCGAACCGGGCGAATGATGCACTCGACAAACTCGCGGCCCTCGAGGCTTCGGCTAGCACACAGCCATCTGCGACGGTGACCGTGACGGCGGCGAGCTCTTCGGCGACGGCTACTGGGTTCGCTTCCATCACCAACAACTGCTCCAACAAAGACGAAACGACGACGGGACAGACGTACACCACAGACTGTAAGTTCAACTCCGAGACCACGTCTCGCAGGACCCCCCTCTGACAGGTATGACAGTCTTCAACAAGGTGACTTTCACCATGTTCTGCAACTCCAACGCCCCGAACGCCCCGTTGATGTCGCTCTTCACCGCCAACTTCAACAATTGCATGGACGCCTGCGCTTCCTTTAGCTCATACGAGGCCGGCTTCAACGGCAACGCGACGTGCGCAGGGGTCAGCTTCATTCCTCTGTGGACGACGAGATCAGGCGCCGTGGAGGGCAAAGCGCCGGGCAACTGCTACCTGAAGCCGGGCCCTCAGAACCGGACGGCGCTCGAGACGCCAAACATCGGCACTGAGTGCCACGCTGCCATCCTGAACTCGTGATAGGAGGCGGGGAAGCTGGTTGCGTCCGGGGTTAGTGTATCGTTCGAGGTCGGTCAGCGCGCGGGGGCTTCTTATTCTATACCACCTTGTCATTGCGATTTTCATGTGTACTATTAGTTGGCGACGAGACACTCAACCGGCGGTGGGAGACAGACGACACGCGACAAAAGCTAATGACGAAAAGAATTGAACAACCAAACCGTACGACTGCCGCCAAGGTGAATTCTTGAATGCCGCGCCAGGCGGGCGTTGTCTTTTGACTGTCCTGGAATTGCTCAGAGGTATGATGCCGATGAAAAAGACAACGACAGACGTAGCGGCGGAAAGGACTAGGACATCCAGTGGGTGCCAGAGATCAGAATGAAGCCGAGGACGGCCAATAACACCGGTGCAACCAGGAGAATGAAGAGACTCCGAGAGCGACGTCAACGGCAACGGTCCGTCATCACCTTTCGCGGCATACGATATCCAGCCCAACCAGGTTCGACTTCGAATGGCGCGTCTGTGTAAGTGAATCGCCGCCAGCCAGCTCGTTTGCTCGTTGAGTATGCAGGCGTGAGCCACACAGCATAGGCTTCCCCAGCAGTCAGCGAACACAGCTATGCGTCGTGCGCTTCCAGTCGTTCGTGGCCGGGGCCTCTCTGGAGCTTGCATGCGACGGAGATGTTGACAGAGATGTAAGGAAACTGCGCCAGGAGATGCCAAAGAGTGGTCTGCACAGAGTACGGTTGGGGACGGCAACACCTTCCACCATGATCCAATTGCTTCGTCGATGTCCTTCTTTTAGTATGGGCAGGTCGCCAGCCAGCCACTCAGCTTACCAGCCGTTGGCATGCTGGCTAGCCAGATGAAATGTAGTCAAGGTCGCTCTGTACTCCGCGCAACATGGAATTCGCACCGTCGTCTCCGCGGCCGATCAGACGCAGCGTTTCGAGGTTATCCACTTCAAACCGAGGCTGAGCGACGCAAGCCATTACTGTCGGCTGAATGCCTTTGTGAAGTTAGACCTGGGCCAACCAGAACCCAACGGCTCTCCGACCTCGCTGAGAGTCGGCGAAAAGGCCAAGGACAAAAAGGGCTTTGTTCAGGCGTGTGGCACGGCGGTGGGGTCCCCCGAGTGGGTGATCCGACGTTAGCGCAGGCCGAGACAGGGCCCGAAGATGACCTGGTTTCATTAAGACGGCGGTCAGCGGCGGGACGGGATGCGGTTGTCGGCATAATATGGTCATTCATGCCTCCCCCAGATGAGCGCGGAGAAACCGCAGCGTGTGTCGCGGGGCTCTGCGGCGAGACGAGTACGGAGCGGAGAGTAGCTCGCAACCCGAACCGGGTTCAAGCCTCGATGGGGATGAAGGAGTCATCTTCGCTTCTCCAGAGCACTTGGATGGTTCGCGATGCCGGCTAATGTTCGTAGAATCAGGCCATGTTGTTATGGAGAAAGGCGGCAACGGCGGTTGTCTTTCCGCCAGGAACACAAAATTGTGTCTTCGCGACATGGCGCCACAAGT